TTAGATGATTAGCCTTACTGGTACAGCTCTGCTAACAAGAATTACTCACTTCTCAAGTCTTTTTGATAGTAATTTCAAGTTTAAAGTTTGCAGTGTAAACTTTTACATACACACAAAACCCATGCAGAGTTTAAAGGAACTGTATGAATTCAAGTTTTGTGCAAAGAACAAAATTTACAAGGGTTTTTTTCTCATTAATGTTATGGAAAAGGATTTTGGAGGACTGAGCATCACAACTAAGCAGTGCTGCATGCTGCCCAGTGCAATACCCAGGAAGTGACCTACAAGAGTGATGCTTCTCTGTTTCACTTGCTTGATGAAATAACAGAAAACAATTTTCTAAGATGTACCAACTTAAAATATTGGAGAGTTTATAAATAATATAAGGAACAATAGTCTAAAGCAATAAAAAAAATTGATAATGCAATACCTAAGAGTTGTTTTCTTCCCCTATCAAATTCAACAGCAACAGAGCAAGCTATTCCTTCCATACCCTGGGAGACCTCTTCATAAACACAGGATAACATAGCTCCTACTGGCGGTATCACAGGAGTACATTGCCATACAGAAACACATCTGTAAAACTGTAATACATCACCCTCAGGAGTTCAGCTGCCAACACCGTGACAGATGTAGTTCCATCACCAACTTCATCATCTTGAACCTTTGACATATCTGAAGAAGGAAGACACAGTATTGATGTTTTGATTCAAAATAACAGGCTCACCAGTATTAGATACAATTATTTTTCTCTTGCACCAGTTTGGAAAAGAAAAACAAATCTTACTATTTATTTAAAGAGGCAAGTCGAAAAAAGCCCCAGAAGAACATAAGATGCAAATCAAATTCAGCATCCTTTAAATTCCTGCTCCAGTTCCAGCCTGGTGGTGGCCAAGAGCTACTCCCCTCTGTCCCCAGTCCTAAAGATGTTCACCAAAAGGACGTATGGCTGGACAGAAGCTCTAAGGTATACATACAGCATCAGAAACTATAATAACCAAGTATGCCACATGAACTGCTGATAAACTGGGACCCAGTAAACATGGAATCATTAAGAAATTTAACACCCAATTGTTCAGGCCCCTGCTTGTCACCAGAACTGGACCACTGGCACAAAAAGACGGTTGATCAAAAAGGTAAACTCTGTCCAGAGTACAATGCTCACTGAGTTATAAAGAGAGATTTAAATTAGGGAGAACCAGAGAGAACCTCTGTTCTCCTGTAGACTCCTGTTCCAAATTTTCCCAGTGAAAAAAGAGGGGCACAAGCTGTCTTTTGTCCCTTCTGACTCCTGGGACAAACCAGGTTTGAGGGAAAACAAAAACATCCCAGATGAGTTTTGAAGAGCAGCATATACCTTAATCTTGCTTTTGCGGAGTTCTGCAACTCTTGCAGTACCTTGCACTCCCTTGCTTCAGGATTTCTGCTCCCCCTCCCTTCCATTTTTCACAGTACTTCAAGAATAATTTTCTAAGAACAAATAAAAACTACACAATGAAGTTACAACTGAAGGAATACCATGCCTTTAAGAACTCACCAACCAAAACCTTGGCAGCTGGGTTGTCAACTCCAATAGCCTTCAGGATGGTTGCACCATCGTTGGTAACTGTCACAGAGCTGTCTCTCCCAGTACTTAAAAGAATCTTGTCCTACAAGATGTAAGATTTAGAATACTGGTTGAAAGCATACTGTAACTATTAAAGCTCAATTAAGAGGTATGACTACTGAGAGCTTGCAGCTGCCTTACCATGCCTTTAGGCCCCAGAGTGCTCTTGACTAGGTCACCGATGGCAATGGCACCAACAAAGGATGACTGAAATGAAAAGAAATATACCTTAGGAAACAATTTATTTCTACTCTCACACAAGAAGTACACGCTATCCCATAGCTTTCAAGAGAACATTTAATGCAACCTTTCCACAGCCACATTTCTTTCAATGGAGACTTGGGTCCAAGTTTCTTAACTGCTACATTTTGATATTCAGAACAGATACACTTAATTCTCACAGAAACCAAAAAAGCTTGCCTCAAAGCCAGAAGAAATGCCTTCCAATAAAATACCAATCTTCTGAGCTACAGTACCGAATTACTTAAGTTTTTGAACAACAAAGTTTATCTGATTGTCAGTATAAACAACACTCCTCCTCCCTTCTGTTCACAGACATAAGGAAAGACAGAGACAGAAGTTCCACATCGTCATACACGGAAAGTATTTGTAGCAGTAGAAAAGACAAAGCTTAATTATCTCAAGTACTACCAGTTTCTTAAAAGAATTAAACTTACCAACCGAGCTGTTTCTGCCTTCTCTTCATCTGCACCTGCCTTGAAAATGTTCACTGGAGCAAGAGAAATGGATGCCTAAAACACAGTTAACACAAGAATTTTCCTCTAGCTTTAACAAAACTACACATTTTAAAAACAAATCCCTTACACTAACAACTTAAACAATGGTTTTATTATTAAAATGACTTCTATACCCTATTTGGTTTTGATAAAAAGTATATTTAAGATAAATTCACCTTAGAAGTCTGTCTTGCAATCTCACAGTTTTATGAAGGGATTACCAGACCGAGTGCAACCTACTCCCAGAGGCTGCAGAGCACATTCGGTGCTGGGACGGACCTCTGAGACCGAGGTCTCAGCACCTCACTCCAACATCCGACATCCGCCCGACGAACCATCAGAGCCCACCGGCCCAGAGGCTGGCACAAGCAGCCGAACCGAAAAGAGACATTAGCTGAGCACATTAAGGCTTTAGTATTTTGATATCTGGGCGGAACCCTTATCCTCCTTTGTCTTTGTTGTTTTGCATTTCAACGAAAATTAATTACAGCAGTGACGAACACGTGCTTTAAGGACTAGCACTCGCAAAGCACCAAGGCCTTCAGTGCAAAAGGATCAAACACCAAAAGATCACCCGTCCCCACGCTGCTAGGCGAGCGGGGAAGGGTGGGAGCGGTGGCGCTCCCGGGGGGCCCAGCCCCGCCCCGGCTCCAGAACCTTCCGCGCCCCCCGCGGGTACCGCGCGGGAAGGGAGGGCAAGGGCGCGGCCTCCGGGCCCCACGCGCGCCGGCGGGGAGCGCGGCCGCCGCCCCGCCCGGCCCTGCCCTGCCCTGCCCTCCCCACCTTGCCCAGGCCAAGGCGCCGCCGCCCCGCTCACCATGGTTTCGGTGCCGGAGCCGCCGGACGTGCCGCCCCTCCGCAGACCCAGCGCCGCCGCCCAGCGAGCCCCGCGGAACCGCCGTCACCGCCAACGCCGCTTCCGGCCGCGCGGCGCTCTGGGAGCGCGGGCCGGCCCCGCCCCGCGCGCGGGGAGGGCTGCGGCTGAGCGGCCCTGCGGGTGTGGGGCTGCGGGTGTGGGGCTGGGGCTGCGGGGCTGGGGCTGCGAGGGGACATCCTGCACTGTGAGCGTGGAGAGGCGCTGCAACGGGCTGCCCAGGGGAGCTGAGCATGGCCCATCCCTGGAAGTGTCCGAGGCCAGGCTGGATACGGCTTTTAGCAACGTGGTCTAGTTCGAGGTGTCCCTGGACGCGGCAGGGGGGTTGGAACCAGATGAACTTTAATCCATTCTGCGATTCAGTTATATTCCTGGAGGTCAGTTCTTAAACAGGTCAAAAACATTTTTAATCGATGCTCCTGGCCTCCAGTGTGCTTGCCAGACCATCCCATATAGCTGCTGTGAGATCATGAGATTCACGTCACCAGTGAAAAGCAGTGCACAGGCGATACCCCAGCACAGTCCCACTCAATACCCTCTTCGTTTCCATATTGAAATTTTGGCAACCATTCCCTTGACAGCTTTGCTAGTGAGACACAACACCCAAGCCTTGCTTTGTCACTGTGTTCCCTCCACACAAAAAGCTCTCTACTTACTGGTCATATTAAAAAATCCCAGAATTCTTTTGTAGGATTCATTCCTTGAGAATGAATTCCAGCTGGCGTTCCTCTTCTTGGTGACAGATAGAATACTTCAGATATATGCCAAGTTGTTCTAGATTCAAACTGGTAGAAATCCATCCCAATGAAGACAGCAAAAAAGAACATGACTAAAACTCTGCCAACTTTCACCTCTGTTACTGGTTTTAAGTACGACAGTACCTGGTTAGTATTAGTTCTTCAGTACTTTGGGCTTTTTGCTCAGTTTTCCTCACAGAGTTAGGTATCTTCTCCCCCACCCACCCCCCCCAACCTTATTCTCAAAACTGGAGTACTAATTGAATTTTAGCATCTCTATCTTTCCTCATAGGTATGCAGAAAAGTATTTAGGTTTCGGCTGGGGCAAATAACCCAACTAAAACAACATTAACAGCTTCTGTCTCAGAATCAGAGCATTCATAAAGATTTGCACTGAAATAATGCTTCATTTTAATTCATATTTGCTGCTACAGTGGTGTGAGTTGGGGGAAAAAATATTTTAAAGTGCCTCAGACCATAATCTGAGTTACAGCCTTTGGAAGATCAAGTTTTATTTCTTAAAACACTGACTTGGGAAGGATTAAAGAGGAAAAAGGGAATTTTGATAAATTACCACCATATTTTATAGTCTCCAGAAGAAAGTCAAAAGGCCACTGGGACTTCAACCTTTTATTTTCTTACTTCTTTCTTTCGGAATTTATCAGTACTATGTTGAGAAATTCCTTTAGGGTTTTCTGAAATCGTAGCCCATTGAAAATGCTGGCATGTGATTCACTAGCCAATGGTTGACAGCAACAGTACTACCACAACAAAAAATCTCAGTCTACGTGCATGACAAAGACGTGACAGAAAACTAGCAGAAAATGAAACATAAGTTTGGAGACAAATTTAAAGACTTCAGGTCATCATGCTCAGTTTTGGGTTTGTCTTTTTACCACTGAGTAATGAGTGCAATACGGAGACAGGGAGGGCAGAGACAGGTACCTGAAACAATGATTTGAAGAAAAGCAAAAAAGGTTATTAAAAAAAAAAAAGACAATACAGCGACACTAACCCTGCAAAACACTGAAGTAACCCACAGACAATTTTTAATGTAAAATCAAGAGTTTATTGCCATGCTACAATTTTTATTTTTTTTCCAAATGAAGTTGGCACTGGTAAAGGGGGAAAAATGTTGTCATAATACACAACACATTTTTTAAAAATGCACATTTGGTAAGCTTTCTCAATAATGGCAGCTTAAAACAAGTGAAATTAATTTTTTAAGATTAATGTGGAATGACATAAAAATACACTCTTTCTGCATAGTATAAGAAATACGGAATGTTTGTAAAAACAAATTCATTTAACAGGGAAAATTACTCGAAATTTTATAAACAATTTGGCAATGGTACTCCCACTGTTTAGACTTTTTCATATAAAAGAAATAAAAATCTAGAAAGCTACCTTTATACAAAGTTGCTATATTTATGCCTTTTAAGTAGGAAAAAACATTTTATAATGCAAATTAGGACATACAATAATCTTACAATATGATACAATGTAATGACAAGAAAGGAACATACAACATAAGATTTTGGCCTTTCTAGAAATGTCTATTTCTGCATTTAATAAATGCATTTGTGGCACACTGGTGACTACTGTATTCTTACTACCTACCAGTCAGCTTTCATGCTAGGGCAGTATTCAGCTGTCTGCAGTTTGGCTGAGACACAGAACTGCTTCTGAGGAGATCAAAGGTGATGCTGCAATGAAGCGAGATGTGAAAAAGGCAACGTGCCTGCTGGTCGAGTCCCTGTACTGTGGGACACCATGTAACACTCTTTCCTTTCATACCAGAGCATTTCTTATACATTCAGTTAAGTACCAAAGTCTTACAAGTGAGAACATCTGTGTTTGCGATTTGGCAAAATTCCAGGGAAAATACAAAGTTAGTACCAAATATATATTATATATAAAATGTGGGTGTATGATATACACACATGTTCTAATGCAAAAAACTGCATTATTACGGACTTAAATTCGCTGACATCCATTCCTAAATAACATGGCCATTAAAAAAACAGGTGTAACCCCAACCTTTCACAGACTTTAGAATCACTTCCTCTTTCATACACAACAGTCAAAGCAATATATATGCAAGTATGACCAAGAAATCGAAATTCCTGTAATTATCTGAACTCTGACCACAACAAATAGGATTTGTATTTCAGTACACGTAATTAAATATATTTATATTTTTACAGTATTTCTAGACCATTCCTGAAGAACCTGACACCAGGTCTTCAGGTGTAACAGAGCTGTCAGCAGAACTTGATCTTGTAGGAGCACATCCAGTGGCCCTTGAAGTCAACATCAGTCATTTGTTCAGCTTCAAAGGACGCTGCATGCGGACCCAATGGACTCTGGAAGGGTCACCCTGCTAACAAGGAAGATTCCCTGATGACACCAAACCTTCTTCTCAGACTTCCTTTTCTACTGTCAAAGGGAAGGACCAGAGCAAAGGATACATGGACTCTGGGCTCTCTGGGTTGCTTGGCAGGTGGTGTTGGGAATGACCATGAACAGCACAGCCCCAGCACCAGGGATTGGCAAGGAAAGCTTCATGGCACCTTTTGCACTAAGGCTTCTCACGGGAAGCAGAGGAGCTGCTTCCCCCCAACTCATCGCTTGGCAATTCAGTCACCACGGGTCTCAGACATGAGCTCCGGCTGAGACCCCAAGGCATTTAGTACTTTGCAGACACAGAGGAAGACGGTCCCTATTCTGAAGGGCTTCAGCCTATTTTTTTTAATCATAATTTTTACATAATCTCCTTTGTATATACACATATTTGCTACATAAAACAGAATTACACCAAAGTAATGGATATAGCAGAAAACGCTGTCACAATATATGTATATTACCACGCTAAATAATTACTAAAACTGCAAGAAAAATTTCAAAAATGCCCTTCATAATATATAAAAATATAGAAATGTCCAACACTTGTTTCATCCACTTTATCTCTCTTATTCTATCTGTACACCTACATATTTCCAAACAAAATACTGCGTTAATCTGGAGTAAACACTGTGTTAGGACAATATCCTCCTAAGACATCTGACAGACTTAGTAACATACCTTATAGCACAGTACCACAAGAAATAATGTATACATGGTCGGAGTTGCAGATGCTAAGCTGCTCTTTTTCTTTTTTTTTTTTTTTTCTTCTGATGCACTTTCTTTTCCAAAAGAGGAAGTAATTCCTAAAGATTGTGAAAGAACCTCAATTCATGACTTCCTGTGTTTTTCGTATATGCCCTGCAAGAAGGACATCAACAAACTTGACTCCATCTTAACGCAGTTTTTTGTGGTGGAATTTCTTCTGGACTTTTTTTCTTGGAGTGTACATGAATTTAAAATAAACATATAATAAATGAACTTAGGTTTATATTAAGTAAATACTGTCAATATAAATGCCTGAATTGCTACCTCAAGGAAGAGATGGGAAAGATCGTATCATTAAATTCCGAAAACACCTACTTCTATCTATTCTTCTAATAGAAGAATTTCAGATTTAAGTCCACTACTAGTTCCTACTCTGTCAGTTTCATCTTATTTGCATCCATTAAATAAATTAGTACAGTGCAGAAATGGAACTTCACCACTGATCCCACGTTACATGAAGAGAATACTGCTTAGAAATAGAGGTCCAAATCAGATACATTGTTATATGCTCAAAGCAGTAACTGACGTTAATCAGAACTTCCATTTTTACTTCACTGACAATGAATAAAAACAATCTGCTCTCTCCTAACTCTGTCTCATTGAGACGTGGTTAAATATTAAACAAAAACAAGGACAGCCAGATTTTGAGCCAATATACACTGTTATAAAACTAGCAAAATCAGCTGCTGGTCTGTCACATACCAAAGCAGCTCTGACACACTTTTGGACTTTGTACAGCTTACACATTTCTGTGACCTTTTTTACATCCAAGCTCCAGTCAGAGGTGTAAACACACACACAAATATCCAAACATCTGGGGATGGGGACACACACAATAGGGGGATTTAAGCAATTTATTATACGAAATGTCTCCTCAAACACTTAAGTTTTCTATAAAAGCTCTGCAGACTTTATAAGGACCAGAAATAGTGCTTCAATGCACACCATCACATTCAACCCCTGTCATATGCAAAATGTATTTACTGGGGGAAACAAACGATTAGTTTCCTGATATAACAATGGATTAAATTCTCACTACCTGTATTTCTAGTACAAACTTTATTATGTAGTTTTGGTCACCATTTCATCTTTTTTACCCACTCAGTTTCCTTGTTTAAACGATACACTGATGTCTATCTTTCCCAAATCATTGTAGTTTCTCGGTCTATATACCTGTAGGCCCAAAATAAATATGATCTAAATACTGTGGAGAGATTTCAGCTGAAAACTGAATCCTAGATTACAGAAACTAAATCTAACATCCCAGCCTTTAAAAGAAAAATTGAAAAAAAATATTTACCAAGTCTAAAAGGGTAAAGTGCATTGCAACTGCATCTACTTCAAGGGGCAGAAAATAAGGAATGCTAAAGATGAGTAGTGTGGGTAACAGGGACTACTCAATATGTTTGCAGCATACACAAAATGAGAAAGCATTATCCCATCTGTAAAAAGTAAGAGGTTAAAAAAGTAGTCCTGGAAAGTATGTCATCAGACTTGTTAGCATAATTAAGGCTACAAAAATTGACATTTCAGTATGTTCTCAATTCTGGGGACCAGAGCTAGGAAAATATTGTGAAACTTGCAACAAGATAAAAAAATTCTCAGACCATTCCTTTTATCTGAAACTACTGAGACTAAATGCATAGGACAGTGCACTGGAACTAAGGAGAGATATGCCTGGTTGTTGAAATTTCAGCAGGTCACTTAAAATTTACCTGAAACCTGTTTCCATATTTGGCAGTTAAGAATATTACTTCCCTGCCTCACAGGTGTGTTTTTAGGGTCCAATTAATTTGTCCAAACTGTACAGATGAGGACCAAATATTTCTAAGCAGCTAGTTAGATCAAAGACGTTTGTCTCAAAACACAGGCTGAAGCTTAGTTCAGCTCACAAACTTTAGTGAGCTATACACTAAGAACAAGAATCACACCAGAATTATTAACCCAGTAAGTATTTTGCAATGCATGGTAATTTCTCTTCAGTACAGACCAAGACTGGTCCATAGCATAAGGTGAGGCAATGGCAAAGATGTGTGGGAACACTTACAGAATCACAGAATCAATTAAGTTGGAGAAGACCTCTGAGATCATGGAGTCCAACCTATGACTGAACACCACCTCGTCAACTAGGCCATGGCACTCTGTGCCACGTTCAGTCTTTCCCCAAACACCTCCAGGGACGGTGACTCCCCCACCTCTCTGGGCAGCCCATTCCAATGTCTACTCGTACTTTCTGTGAAGAATTTTGTGCTAATGTCCAACGTAAACCTGCGCTGGTGCAGCTCAAGACTATGGCCTCTTGTCCCATCATTAGTTGCCTTGGAGAAGAGGCTGACCCCCACCTGGCTCCTTTCAAGAGGCTGCAGACCTAGCTTTAGGTAGTCATTACCTTTTTGAGTACCAAGTCAGCAAGCCTATCACAAGAATATGCAGAGGCTGATCACGAAATCATTAATGAGGATTGATTTTTTTTCTTAAATCTCATTTAAGTTCCTCATAATGGTCTCAGTGACTCCCATCTTTTACTTCTGCAAATTATGGTCTTTGTGCATCTGGTATTTCAGTACCATACAGTCTGTAAAAAATAATGAAAGTCAGAGTGAAAAGGTTGCCTGATACAAGCTAATGGTGTGGCAAGACACAGGTATTTCAGGTGCTACTACTGCTGCCACTACTAAACGAGAGAAGACCAAAGAAAAAAGAGGAACAGAAATACACACCAATTTAAAAGACTGAAAACAACTAAGTTTTTTTTTATAAAACTTCAATTCAAATATTGCATGAAGACCCTTAATGCTTTTCCGGATTTCCGAATGGCTTTTCGTGCATATTTTTCCTCACAGTTCAGGGGTTATTTTACATCATACCAGTTCACACAAGTGTCAGTTCCTTTGCAATCACAGGCTCAAGAGCAATCTCTTCTACTGCTAGTACCAAGGTGCGCCTGCAATACTGCCAGAATTCTAAGATTATTCAGAGTATTAATAAACAAAACAAAATAAAAACTTCTAAGGGTGCATCTGGCATATTCAACAAAGAACATTCTACCTGGATGTACCTGTAACACTGAGCAGCCATTGTTGTGACCAAATTCACCAACTGCAAAAGGAAAAGAATTATGCTTGTAGATAATACTACCTTCAGATAATTTACTACATATCTTTCTAAATTAAAGTACACTATCACCTATGGATGCACACTGCTAGAATGTACAACTTTCTATAAAGAACTATCAAGTCCAGTACCCTGCCTCCCGTGTAACCTGTGTTTGATGCTTTAGAGGAAGACAATAACTGCATAATAAACCTTTCCAGTTGTGCAATAATGCATGCTGCTGGAGAGCTGGGATATTTCTGTCAGGCATAAAAAAGTAGAACACTGGACAAAGACAACTATTTGACCTTCAAGAGTCTTTCTTTGTCAAATGCAGAGAGTAAGACAAACACATATACGACCCTGAACAATAATTAAAGCTATGTACAAAATTTTGACTTTCAAAACAAGACATTATGGAACAAATAAAAAAGAAACATACAAATGCAAAGAAAGGAAAGGACACTGAACTAAGAAATGACAAGAGAGCCTTAATTCATACAGCCCACCTGTGAATTCCTCCACAAAAAACCCCAAAATGCTAGTGGGATTACAATTTTGCCAGATTTCACAGGGAATTTGATATGCGACTTGGAATTCTATTCTAGCGGAAGGAGCTTAAGGCTGGATTTAGATGTGTTTATAGCTCTGATCAACGAGCATCAATGGGACCTCTCAAAAATCACACAAGTTGAGAAAACTGTCAAGAATTAGAGGCCTTCTTGCCCACAGACAAAAAAGGTGTGGTGTTTATATTCCTTGAGATGAACCAATGTATCTTGTGTGAGTCAAACTGAGTGAATTAGCATATTACATACATTTCATTCTGGAGGAACCACTTCAATGAGAAATGAACGTAAGATACGTACATTGAAAGATTAGGTTTACCTGTCAATAATGCACATATCAAGAGGCTTTAAAAAGTGTTATAAATGCCAGTAATGAGTATAGGCACCAGACCAGAATATTTATAAATCCAAAACCAGCATGTCACTCAGACTCTAATCAATTAAAGAGGCACTGTGAAAGGTGGTGATGCTGCTATGCAGTAATTACTTCTACTGTAGAATGAAATAGTGTTACCTAGATGAATACTTGCTCTACATTAATTCCCTTTAGTTAGACAAGTACATGAAGTATGCAGAAGAAGTTCTATTAGTCTATAAAAGGCATTAGTGTTAAGAAATGCAAAGTACTCGCATCTTCAATGTTATAAACTTCACAAAAGGTGCAAATGATTCAATGCTTCCCAGGCTCACATAGGCAGGTCAGTACTGTTATGTCTAGTTTTCCTAGAAGTACCATCATCTCGGGGCAGTGCTTTTTGCAAGCTCGACATAGCAGCAGTTCTTTCAATGTCTATCACAGCATACAACTCTGTGCGCCTGGTTGGTGTCTGCGGAAGTGGAGTGGTGGGGGTTTTTGGAGTCTGAGGGTTGTCAGAGTCACTACCACCTTCCAAGTCAACCTGTATGTAGTTGAGCTGCCTGTGTTCTAAACTCGGACGCCTAATGTCGAAGTTAAAGACTGTTGGCGTACAGTCCCGACGTCGTGTAAATTCTACTTTATGAGCACTTGGTGGTACTGTTACATTCTCTGTATTGACATAATTATGCATTAGATCTAGGTTATTGTGGTAGCCATTCAGAGATGGGGTCTTTGGTCCTAAACTGTCATCTTCATCTCTACTCAGCTTGCGGGCTTCCCAAACAGGAGGCAAGGATGGCAAGTTCTCATAGTTCAACAGCGCAGTTCTCCTCTGAGCAGAGTTGTTAATGTTCTGGGTGTCTGAGGTACTGGTTGATGTCAAGCGACCTCTCCTGACCCCTGAGGCACTAGGAATTGATAACCTATTTATGTTTTCATATACCAGTTTATTACCAGACGGTGTTTCTCTACGTTCATCACTGTCATACCCAGTGTCCCATTCAGTGTTGTTTGTGCTGCTGCCGCTAACTTGATCTCTCCCAAGTTGCTCCAGTTTCTCTCTTTCCATTAACTGCCTTTGAACAGGTGTTGGTCCTAAAACAAATTTGACTCCTTCAGGCTCCAGGAGAACCTGAGCATCTCTGTCATCAGTACACATCTGATCTTCTTTCACTTTAGTTATTTCAGTGTTTGAAAGCTTTGATTCCAGTGGCACATGCACACTCGATCGATTTTTTCTTTCTTCTTGTACTCCAGTAGTGTTGACGTAAGTGTGCACCTAAAAGAGGAAGAAACAAAAGGAGATTCAAATGCTCTTTGTGCCTTTTTTTTTCCCCTCCAAATTTCCTTCTTTCTTAGCTCCCCGCTTTTCAAATAAAAATACTTGAAAATAAAATCTTGTTATGGCAGGTGTTTAAGTGTAAGGTCACCTCTCACATTTTGTTGAACTGTGGTCAGTTTTGGTTTTTTCCCCTGAAATTTTGTTGTTGGTTTTGTTAATGCTACTATAACAAAAGAACAGAATTTGTATTTTAGATTAATAATTAGTTCTATTTGATGTTTTATCTCAGTTGTGCTCTCATTCTCACTTTTCAGGTTCTATTAGAGCTTTGCTCTGATCAGGGCAAACTTGGGCAGCTCCTTACTTCATTACATCCATTAGCTCATTACTTCACATGAACAGATCAGTGAGAGCTTTACTTCGTTGTCCCTTACCATGACAGTGACCAACAGTTACTTTGCTAAATTTGTCTTTATAATTTCCACAATGCAAAGGAAACTCACTGTCCATAAAAGAAAAAAAATCCCAAACAAAACACCAAACCATAGAGAGACCTAAAAAAACCCCTCAGGCTTTTGCCTTGTGTACTACTGCAGCAACAAAAAGAGAGGTTGGGTCTACTGGAAGAACAGTCTTTTCTTTCTTCAAGAGCCAAGAGCCTCCTAATAACAGAAACTGAAGTAGAAAAATATATAATTCCATATGAAGAGTGGCACTCAGAATTAAATAGAAGCAGGAGTTGTCACCATATGCCACTAGGAAAGGCAGAAATACACTATTAGGTTATCTCTCCAATTTCCCAAAGTGGATCAACACAAGGCTGAATGGGAAAGACTGGATTCTTTCTCTAAATTTTAATTCTATGTCTGGATATCCAAACAGCAAAAGTAGTATTTGACAGCAGCAGTCGTGTAAACTTCCAAACCTCTCTGTCAAGCTCTCCAGGCTGAAGTGTTATTTACAGCTCACTTGAATCCTACACTGATACTTTAACTCATTTACTCTTCAGTAACTCCAACAATAACACCTGAACTCTTCTGTGGTGGCTCCTAACAAATCCTTTCCCAAAAGACAGTTCACTGCACTCTGCTCTGGTTACCCTCTATAGTTTCCAACACCGCTTCTTGTCACACACAAACATCTTCCTAAAACACATAACATTATTAAACTTGACTAACATTATCATCAGCAACCTGAATGATGAGAAAGAACACACCCTCTGAGAGTTTTCAGTCTTTCCCAGACTGGTAGGCTTTCCACCGAGAGGGATCTCAGCAGCCTGGAGAACTGACCTCATAGAACCTCAGCAACAACAAATGCAAAGTCCAGTGCCTGGTATGGAACACCACCACCAAACAGGCTAGACACCAACTGAACTGAAAAGTAGCCTTCCAGCAAAGCTGGGGATCTCGGTGGATGGTAAGTCAAATGTGAGTCAGCAGCATGAAAAAACAAACTTGCACTAGTTTGTGTTGGCAGTAGCACAGTCAGCAGGTTAAGGAACATTGTTATTACCATCAACTCAGTTCTTGTGAGACTGAATCTGAGCTCCTCAGTACAAGACAGACATTACCATACTGGAGCAAGTCCAGATGCGGGCTGGAGCATGTGACACACAAGGAGAAGCTGAGAGCACCATCTTTGTTCTGCCTTAATGAAAAGGCCAAGGAACCACCTACTAGTTGTGTTCAATTACCTAACATATAAAGAAGACAGAGCCAGACTCTTTTTGGAGATATTCAGCAAAAGGCTAAGGGGCAGTGGACAACAGCTGTAACAAGAAAAACTCTGATTACATAATAGGGAGAAATGTTTTCACTACAAAGGTAGTGAAACACTGGTACACATGGTTCAAATTCTGTAGAATCCCTTTGTTTGCAGTATTAAAAACATGACCAGGATAAGGCTCTGTGCAGCTGTCTCTAACTTAAAAATTTGATCTAGAGGACTAAAGGTTCCTTCTAACCTAAAATATTCCACGATTTCTATTTGCCAAATATAAGACTTACATTTAAAGAAGCTTTTTGACCAGGATCTCTCATTATAACGTACAATTACTTGTGCTTAAATATAATTACTGAAATTTTTGAAAAGAGTATAATGCAAACATATGCTTTCTATATCTTTATTTGTATATAAATATGAAGCTATCCTACAAAATATCATTTTAAGGAGGCAAAATATAATAAAAATAATATAATAAACACTTTTCTGAGGTAGTTAAAATATGGTAGAAATACATTACACCTGATACTGAACAACACAAGTGAAAGCCTACAGAAAAATCATTAGAAAATTGAAAGTAATGTGGAACATAAGTTGTAGGAGGGGAAAAAAACCACTCACTTGCTCTTCTGCTACAAGTAAAGGATGTGTTGATTCTTCACCGACAGAGGGGAGGCGTGCACTTCCAACAGAAGGATGTCTGCTGGAAGGATGTGATGAAGCATCTCCAAAAGATGGGTATCTGGGATAGCCATTAGGTAAACTTTGTGCATTGAACCCAGGAGCTGATTCAATTAGAAAACAAGCAAAACCATATTAAAATAGAACATTTTACTGTATATTAGTAAGATGCTTTATACATTCATTTTCAAATTTCAAAAGGGAAATTAAAATATGTAAAACAGTATTAAATATTCACAAGGTTCAATTTTGCTTGGAGGAAGGAAACAGAGAGCAGAGAATAGCATCCCAGTATTTACTGGGAAACATGACTGAAGCAACGACTGAAACCTGGGTGTATTACACACTGCAGTCCTCCCACTAAGCTCCCTATCCAACTTTCTACCATTAACATGTCTCCCTGACAAACAGAGACTTATTTAACTAAGCTTCCACTTCTCTAAAATTATCAATTACCTAAAATCTTCTGGTACTTTTGAAAGTACTCCATTCTGCCTGTCCACCTACTCTGAGCAAAAGAAAGATTCCAGAGCCACTGTCCATGTGATTTTACCAGTATTTTTTTCCCATAATTAAAAGGTTGGAACATTGCCCAACTTTAACATTTCTCAGAAATGCTACAGGTAAAACACGCTGATATATTATAAAGCAATTCAATAGGTATATTTGTAAGTGTTCGCATGCAATAACTAAGTTCCCAAAACTTATTTCTTAGAGATGAAGAACTTTACTATGGCAGTTCTGCTTCCAAGACTTAGGGTTCTCAAAAGAGAATCCTCAGCAAGTTCCTCCAGAGAATGCATTACTGGTAGTTAGTCTCAGCTTTAAATTAGCTTTCTTTTAATTACTTAAAGATTAAATGCAAATCAAATGCTATTTTCAGCTAAGTAGCACATTACATTCAGGTATGTCACCTGACAGTAGAACCATACTTACTGGTAGGTGTTCGAGGGGTTCTTGGAACTTCCAATTCAGTTTGATGATTATTCCTTTCTACTACTGGTTCTTCTACTACATTTATGCTATTATTCTGCATTATCTCTTGTAACATGTTAAATAGCTCTTCTGCCCGGGCACATTTAAAGGCAAAGATTCCTACAAATACACACACACACACACAAATTAAAAATCCTTTAACTAAGAAACATGCCTTACAATATATATAACTTTCAAGAAATAGAACTGGAATCCACATAATGAATACCTGTTAATGAAGCAAAAACGTTATGAAATTTTTATTGTACCAAAACACATGAAGTTACTGTGAGAAACTTTAAAGTGGTTATCTCATAGAAGAATAAGAATCCCATGCACCAAAAGTTAAATTAGAACAGAAAACTGATTCAGTTAAGAGCAAAACTAGGCTTTGAGTGCTAAATGAGGAAGGGGAAAACCCTAAAAGATTCTTTCTTTTAAACTCATAAAAAGGATACCTACTAAATAAATACAATTTTAAAAAATATTTAAATGTAACTACAGTGGTGCTACAAGGTCATATTTCCTAAACTGGATTTCTATTACATAGCCATAAAAAGAAGATACCTGCACAACAAAAAAAAAAAAGGGTTAAACACTGGGTAAAAGCTTAGTTTCTTAAAGAGGATTAAAATGAAAAGCTAGTAAGACAAACTGTGTGAAACAGACAGTAACAAACTAATTGCTTTAGGCTAATAGACACAGAACACAAAGTTAGCAGCAATACCGTGTATTTTGCGTGTGTATTGTGCCACTTTGCCTTTGAACAGCAGGGAGCGTCCCAACTTACCCTCACCAGCAAAGTCGCAGCTTTGGATTATTCTTCCATTGAAAGCATGAAGTTAAAGTTGACATGCTTGTTAAACGCGGGTGCAGGTGCTCATTTTTCAAAGTGAGTATTACAATCTTAAAACACTCTTTACTAAAAACTACCTACCTATATAGCTTCTCCTACTGTAAGTGCAGTTATGTGAATATGCTGGCAATTACTATCATCATGTAATTATTTAGGGACGCAGAACTGTGACAGGTCAGAACTACCAGAAATGCTCCACGTGGCAGAGGTTCACAAAAACCCACCTGGGAATACCAAGTGTGCTAGGAGGAATGACGCTCAATGATTAATACTGAGCTGGTGCACTGAATAAGCTTCATGCTTCCAACACTGCAGCTACAGAGCTTCTACTACTCTATTTCCCTGACCCATGATCCAGCTCCAGTATAATAGTCCATGTTTAATATTTTGTGTATTTTTGAAAATTCGCACTCGATACTTAAATCTTAATGGACAAAGAATAGAATTTTAAAAAATCTAAGATCACAAGCTTGTAAAGCTCCCAGTATGTTTCCAAGAAATTCAGCTGCCTTTAAATATATTCACATTAAATATACTGTGATCTGTCACACAACATGGTGACACACCAAGTTTTCTGTCCTGAATTATCTATTAGCTGTGCTCCTAAAACATGTTTTCAAGTTTTTTAACACCTAGCACAAACTCAGTGTTTCACCATCAGTGCACTCTGACAACTTTTCAATAGATATAATTTGAGATTAAAGGGAAAACTCAAACAAGAATACTGGCTAATGCAAGAAGTTGCTGGGCAGTATTCAGTGAATTCTCATATGAAAAACTCAGTCAATACACAAAGTGAAGATGAGGTTTTGCAACTGTGCCCACAAAACCCAGCGTAGGTCTCAGGAACAATGCTCCATTGCAAAAGGGCAGCAAAGAACATTTTCTGCCAGATTTCTTTTTTCTCAATATTCACAGTATTTTAATATTACATAAGAAAGTCAAGAAACAAAAGAAGGAGGAAAGGGTTGCTGCTTACACAGCCTGCTTAATCTTCTCTGTTAAAAAAAAAAAAAAAAGAATAAAGCAATTGGGAGGAAAGCAGAGAAGTCAATTAGACTCGGTGGAAAATTCTGCACACTTGCTAATGGACTGTGGAAAAGAACCTTCAAATTAGTATTTTCAATTAAATATTATTAGTATCTCTTTTCAATGTTTAAAAGAAGCAATAAATTAAACCTGCAAAATCAATTACAGTGATTATCTTCAAAACAAAGTTTATTACCTTCTGAAAATTTATTTTAGTATTGTGGCATCTGAAAACATCTCCATTTCTCACTAGGAGACGAACTGAGAATGCCTTCTAAAACACTTACAAAAAAGAATGTCTGCCTTTACCTCCGCTCGGACAATGCAGGTTTATTTATGATCAAGTTCTTTCATCTTCCTGATTTTTTTACAGTGAAATTAAAACTCAAAAATTGTATTTTCTAAATATTGTTGTTGATAAAAACCACTAGTAAATGCTAAAAATTTGTAAAAAATTGCAACTTAATTTTACAACATATGAATACATAAAAATTCCAACTACACACAGCTACTTCACAGTAGAAAGGTACAAAATGAGGCCAAGACCTCAACTGAAACATCCTCCCCAGGGACTGCTGCAGTGAAGAGAGAAGCCTGAATCTTCTCAGAGGCAGCCAACCTTGGCCAAGGTCTGGGGACTGGAAAGGTAACTATCTTCCAGTGAAAGCCACACAGAAAATAACTGAGCATAAGTGAAGTATGCGCAGTTCATGCCAAAACATGTAAAAATTTGAGAATTATGTCACTGATATAAATGAAAGTGATATTTGCTTTAGGAAGAGGATGAAGCACAAGCAGGTTACTGAAAATAATAATGAGGTGGGGACATCCAGTTCGTATCAGCGCTCTAGTCTTTTAAAATCTAAAACCATAGAATTCTTTGAATTCTGAAGAGATTCCTCCACAGTTCCAGATTCCATTGCCTCCCCCTGAAAGTCAAGTCAACCTCTGAGGCAGGAGAATTTCCCTGTCAAAACCACCTCTTAAGCTGGCCAAAAGTATTCACACATAGAAGCTTCAAGTCCTCCAGACCTACAGTGCCAAAAACTATGTGCAATTCAAATCCTCATTCCTCATAAGGTAATTTTTTTCCAGAAACCACATTCACATATAAAACTATAGCCTTTACAACCCTTGCCAAAGGACTGGTAAATATGTTCCAACATCAAATAAATTTCCAAAATCTTTATATACAAAATTTCCACATACCTTGTCCAGTTTGACACCTTCGACCACTTTCAAAAGAGAAAAGATTTGAGTCATAGCCATAGCGACGGAGACAGAGGTAGTGCCATTTTACAGAGTCCCTTTTACGGGTGTACAAAATCAATTCTGTATCTGTAAGTTCCATTATGCCAGAACCCAGTTCATTACCATCATCATCCACATTAATAACCTATAAAAAAAGTTAAAAAGTATTAGGTAAGTAGTCTTTTGAGAAACAACACCATTTCTAATAATCTAGATCCTTGAAGTAAAAGTTTTTATTAAAAACGAACAAACAAAAAAACCCCACCAAACTAGTTCCTTTGCTCCTCCAACCCAGAATTAAAAAAAATAAAATAATACTTATTTAAAAGCAATACAAATGAGACTGTCTAACATTCCTGTAAATCCTGATGAGAAATTTAAAGTGGAAGAGATTCATAAGTCAAATACCTTTTTTTAAACTGGCTTTATGCATGTATTCTAGTATTTCCACATGCATGAGGCATTCCTCAGATAATGAAATCTCTTAGAGCCCCATTTCTAGAAAAAAAGGTATTTGCTTTGTCATATAACCCCACTTACAGCTGGGAAAAGGAATGAAAAAGGGTAAAGTGGTTCCAAGATAAAGCTTCCTTCACATACATGTATAGCCTTGCACTGTGCTGACTCACCCAACAATTTTAGATATTTTGCTGCCCTTTTAAAGTCAACAAATAACTCAAATACCCTATAGTTACCTTGTGTGAAAACATGAGTATGAAGCTTCAACTCTTATTCCTTTCTGCTTTTAAACCATTTTGAGGTCATCTGGATCCTTTACAGAATTTGGACAATATATATTTTCCCCTGCATGTATTTTATCTCACAGTGCTGCTTTTAGTGGGATTCTTTGTTATTCACTAAAAAGGCTACCAAAAATTTTCGCTATGGAATTAATGTTACTCCTTAAAGAGACATTTTCAACTTGAAATCTAGTCAATTGAAAAGAATTAGGAATAGTTTCATCTGCCACTGAGGCTTATGCCAATTTTCCTCATTTTGCAAATTGCATTCTTTCATCTTCTCCCTCCTGCTGCTAAATCAGCAATCCAAACAATAGAGAAATTCTACAAGGAGAAAATTAGGAACTAGTTACACAAAGTGATGTAAAATACATAAAGAGCAAGAAAACAGAGAAATATTTTATCCTTCAGCTTTCTTTACTGACAATATTAAACATTTCCCTAAGGCAACACATGAATCATTTTTCACTATGGAAGCATTACATTCCTTTGTCAGCTCACCAGGAGTTTGGAGCACAGAAGCAAATCTGACTTGTGTGACTATGCAAAGGTATGTTTACTTAAAGGCACTGACTTCAGCAGCTTCATGTTTAGCATGTTAAGCACACGAACAAGTGTTCACAAGCTTATAAATTCCAGAGATATATGGGACAAAAGCACATTTAGAAATAAATTTCTTCCAAGTAAAGGGCAAAAGTTCTTAAAATGCTACAATTGGTAGTGCCCTTCAAGTAAAATCAGCAATCCTAAAATTTTCTATTGCTGACTCTGCATTCAGGTTCACAATTACACTTCTCTAATAGCTCTTCCCTTATGCTTACAACTGCTTTCCTAACTTCTGTACCCTGCCAAGAGACAACACCACTTACTTGGCCCTACCAACTGAAATGGAGATGGATCAAAGCACAGGGCTTCTTCTCCTTCCTAAAGATCAAAACTCTCCTAAAAAGCCTACTCTATCTAGGGAATTCCTGTCACTACTGGTAAGAGAGGATCCCTCAAAGGGGCAGGAGAAACCTGCCAACCACAGACACCTGCAACTCTGCAATGTTTCAACTAGTCAGAAATCTGCACTCTATTTTCATTTAATTTTTTCAATCCTAGACCTACTCTGCAAGAAAGCAACAAAATAATTCACAGCATGCCACATAAGTTGCATACCTTAAACTTGTTTCGGTGGTTATCTGGGACAGTTTCTTTATCTGGACAGCTACAACAGCTACCCATGACTTCTTTAGAAGACCATCTGATCTCTAAAGGGAAAAAAAAAAAACACCAACAAAATGATCATTTAGGAGAAGTAAAAATAAAATAGCATCAACAAAACAACCCAATGCAAATTACTCTCTGAAATTACAATTTTGCAACCATAAGTAACAAGAAATCAACATAGATACTACAAGTATAGTAGTTAAGTTAGATTTGGCATTAAGGAGCAGCAACACTGAGCTGTTAAAGTCCTACCAATAAATCAACCTGAGGTTACTACCAAACAGACACATCTGATCTGTCACCTTGATTCCCATGGTAGCAGCTTGGGGGAAAACAAAAACCAACAACTTACCGAGTATGATTTTCATCTCCTAAACCGGGGCCTAAATGAGCACTCCCTGGCTCAGGCTGCTGTGCACAGCCCTAGAGCCGCCCCTAAAAGCCCTGGGCTGTAGGAGGTTACCAGGCACAGGCAACACAAAGAGCCCACACGGCAATCCTGAAAGGCTGCCTTGGCTTTGGCAGCTCCAGGGCTGCTTTGCAAGAGAGGGTGGAGGCATTCCAGGCCTGGAGGCAGCCCTGTGCTGGCAGCCATGCAGTGAAGTTCTGTGCTTCCACTTTTGAATATTTCCCATACAGCAATGTACATCAAATGATGTAATCAAAGGAAGGAAAAAAACTCACATTCAACACAAACATTTTAAAACTTGGGAGGTGGGGGGGAAATTCTATTAAGTACCATTTGAATTAAATTGTTACCCATTTGCTATAAAATAGAAAAATACTCAACTAACACAGAACAGCATGGCTAAATTAATGAAATCAAAAATAAATATTTGATTTTTTTTATATTTTCATTTAAAGATTTTTCTATATATGGCAAAACTTTCATAAAACAGTTTGATAAAATGTTCACAAAACCAAGTCTCACAACTTGCTGCCTCTCCCTCTATCACCACGCAGGGAGGGGTACTCCTTGTATTTCTTAAATACAAGGAAGTCAGACAGAAGAAAACTTAGCCCATTTACATCATATTCATATTGGATAAGAATTAAAATTTCCACTACACAAATGAAAAATGGGGCAAAATCCTGGAGGAGAGCTATTAAGTCAACAAGAGATATGACAATAGGAATCAAGAAGAAAGAAGACAGAAGAGGTTGATAACTCTTCCTGACTGAAGAAGGAAAAAAATCCAATGTCACCTTAAGAAAACTCTGACTTGTTTTCTAGACGGGCATTTGTATTAGCATGCAGCAGTAGTATCCACAAAGCATTTTAGTCTGCTGAAAAATAAGGTGCAAGGAATACAATGAAGAGCATCTAACTCTTCCCCTCTTCTTGATCAGAAAAGCCACTCACATGAGATACTTCTACCTTGGAGACTGTATAAACCTGTATGAATCTCCCACCGACCCCTTGCAGAGGTGAAGCAAGAACTTAACAGAAAGTGCAACAACATGGCTTGGATTAATCTAGTCAGAAAGAGGCAGAATACTCAAAATCACGGATTCTTTAATGTCATTTCTCATCATAGCACGAAAATATGTGCTAATTTGACAGAACTTTTTTTCCAAATCAAGGGAAAGACCTCTGAGATCAATCATGGAGTCCAACCTATGACCTAACACCACCTTGTCAATTAGACCATGGCAATCAGTGCCACATCCAGTCTTTTCTTGAACACCTCCAGGGATGGTGACTCCACCACCTCTCTGGGCAGCCCATTCCAATGCCCAATCACCTTTTCTGTGAAGAACTTCTTCCTAATGTCCAATGTAAACCTCCTCTGGTGCAGCTTAAGCCCATGCCTTTTTGTCCTACTGCTGGTTGCCTGGGAGAAGAGATTGACCCTCTCCTGGCTACAACCTCCTTTCAAGTAGTTGTAGAGAGGGATGAGGTCTCCCCTGAGCCTCCTCTTCTCCAGGCTAAACAACCTCAGCTCCCTCAGCTGCTCCTCACAGGACTTGTGCTCCAGACCCTTCACCAGCCTTGTTGCCCTTCTTTGGACTCACTCCGGCACATCAACATCATTTCATGTAGTGAGGGGCCCAGAACTGGACACAGTGCTCAAGGTGTGGCCTCACCAGTGCCAAGTACAGGGGAACAATCACTGCTCTAGTCCTGCTGGACACACTATTCCTGATACAGGCCAGGATGCCATTCACCTTCTTAGCCACCTGGGCACACTGCTGGCTCTTGTTCAGACAGCTGTCAATCAGCACCAGCAGGTCCCTTTCTGCCTGGCCACTGTCCAGCCACTCTGTCCCCAGCCTGTAGTGCTCCATGAGGTTGTTGTGGCCGAAGTGTAGGATGCAGCACTTGGCCTTGTTGAACCTTATATGGTTGGATTTGACCCATCTATCCAGCCTGTCCAGGTCCCTCTGCAGAGCCCTTCCACCCTCCAGCAGATTGACACTCACTCCCAACTTGGTGTCATCTGCAAATTTGCTGATGGTGGACTCAGTTCCCTCATCCAAATCATCAGTGAAGATAATAAACAGGACTGGGACCAGTGGGGAGAAGTTCTGAATGTTATTAATCAGTCAAATCAATCAGTTCCAAACCACTTTTAATAATCTTCACACATACACCCATTGTTATTTTAACTACTCATTTTATTATTATTATTATTATTTATTTCCTGTTCTATTTAGAAAGGGAGATACAGGCAGTAATAGCTATTCTTAAGGCACAAATGCATGCACTTAGACCTCAAATGTTTTGACAAAGTGTAAACATAACTAGATAGTTGCGTGATGTTTGTATCATAACTTTCTATGCATTTGGCATAAAATAACTGATCAAATCCGTTGAAGGTAGGTGTCTGAAAACTTTAAAAATAACCTTCAAAATTTAACTGCAAAGTAGTTTGAGGGGAAAAAAAAAATCACTGGAGTTGCAAGAAGAAAGCTGTAGCATATGAAGATGTATAGCATCAGTATCTCAAGAATGACAAAGAAAGGTTATGTAATCAATAATCGTACAAGCTCGTTATTTTGTCTCAAATATATTCAAATATTAATATTTCAGAAAACCAAGAACTGCAATGCTGCTTCCAAGGAGAGATATGAATCAAGGCTATAAGGAAGAAATTAAACAGCTAGGGAACTGGCAGAATTAAAAATCACTCACCTAGATTTGGCCATTAATATTCCCAGCCTCTGCTGCAGCATCAGGGCTTCTGTCATACTCAAAGTGTCATGATGTCTTGTCACAGAACGAATCATTTGACCTAGAACTAGAAGAGTAAATAAACATCATTTTTTCTTATTTCTAAGATGCTAGTTAGTAAACTAAGAAAAATATACGCTTCTGTTTATTATTATTTTGTCACTGTAATGTCAAGTGAGGTTTTCATGACTAGGAGGCATCTGAAGTGATGTTTTAGACAAGTCCAATCTTTTGGAGCTTTTGTGCCTTGGAAGAAAATAATTTGGTATTCCTTTCTGCAACACAGCCTGTCACACTGCCGACTCCATTAATTCTCCACTCACTGCTTACTCAATTTAGTGTGTGGAAATGACGGATGAGAATCTCCCGTTATCCTCAGTACATACTGAACCAAACCACAGCACACAAACAGAAGAACACACACAACTTACTCTGTGTAACTTCCCCTTGCTTATTCTAGTGAACATACACAAATGCTGACTTGTATGGCTAACACATCACCCTTTCTCTGCTTTCCTTACGATTCCTGCTCCATGACATGAACCATAAATTGTTTGCTTTTACTTCCCCTCACCCCCTGGATTATTCTCACACCAGCTATCCACTCACATTTAACACGAAAACTCAACTGCTGCTTCCATCATGCCAACAGTTAGCAGCCTCTGTTCTCTGTTTGTAAAACTGCCAAACAAGCATTTAATGTTTCCTTTGATGCTGCTTATTAAACTCAAGAGAAGGGCTAATTTCTCAGAAATATGCTTTATTATTAGTCTTTTTTATCAGTCTTTCAGGATGTCTACGCAAACTTCTTTGAAACCAGTGCAGCTTTGCTTACAAATTTTTTGCTGAAATACTTTCTATTCACCTGCTGTCCTCTGCCTTACCCCTGGATTAAAATCATCTTGGGAAACCGAAGTACTCTTCTTTTTTGCATGATATCAAGAGTAATGTAGTCCCAAATTCATACCAGGTCCTAGGCATCATTACAGCATCATTACAACAGTTGCGAAACAACTTTTACTGCGAAGGGATTGTGCAAGAGAACAGCTCCATAGCTACCATTAAGAAAATGAAACATAACCGCTTGGAAAGAACTAAAAGAGCCAAACCCACAATTTTTTGTATGAATCCACAGTGCATCCCCAGATGTAGTAATGCATGCAGTTCAGGCCTCCCCTGTCAAAAAAAGACAGAGTAAAACCAGAAATATGCTACTTATATGGCTCAGCCTGAAAAAACTGAGCAGAGAGGTCAGAAAAAATGAGCACAGAATTATAGGTGACACAAAGAAGATAAATAAAGCAGAACTATTTTCCAAATGCAAGCACTAGGGAACATCAGTTGACATTAAGGGGCAAGTTCAAAAAACTACACAGAAATACTCTACATGGTATGTAGTTATTGTGATCCACAATGTCATGTGGAAATGAGTTCCAAAAATTTACAGGCTCAGAAAGTAATTGGACAAATGCAAGCTCCATGAAGACCTTTTAAACTCAAGGATGTCACATTTGGCTCAAAAAGTCTCTAAGTTGCAGATACTTAGAAGTGTCTTAAAGACTGATCATAAAATGTTTCTTCTTTTTATTCCCTTCCCTATATATTTACTATTTGCTGTCAGAAATTAATATTTACTGTCAGAAATAGAATACTGGACAAGCTGATACTTCAAGTGTGACCCAATAAAGTCATTCTAGTTAATGTAAATGGAGGACATCAACGCAGCATAAATTTTTGAGTGCACTCCCATAAGACACTAAAAAAGGAAATTATTAACAACTTATACTTAACTTGCAACTAAACCCTAGATTTCACAAAGGTACACAAAAAAAACCCTTCTTGAACTGCTTGACAGATATGTACTTTTGCATATAGCTGTATTTAGGACCTATCCCTCTGCAACATGCACAGGCTCTGGTTCTGTGTTGGCCCTACCCAATCTGAATGGTATTATTTAACTATGATTTTAGTCAGGTTAGACTTTTGCTTGCTTACTGTACCAAACCAGCTCAGCAGAGAGTCTAGCAAGTGCCAGAGCAGCTGGGGACAGAACCACAGCCTTAGTCGCCTCAGCCCAGCTTTCAGAAAAATGAGCCCCTTCACTATGACTGAGATTTAAAGTTTACCAAATTCCCTGCTAAAATCTTCAGGACATAAGAATGGAAGAGGAGCAGAAAACCTGACCCACCCACTCTAGCGGAATCTTATGGGTAGTCATTAGAAAAATAATAAAATAAAAAATTTTCACAGGCAACATACTCTATTGCAGGTATGTTTGCACTTGTGTTTACCTAGCAAAGTTTTAAAGCTTTCACATGGTTTGGCTACCTAAAGCAGACTAGCCTGTTTCAGTTCCCTAAGAATGACTCTAAAACAATCTAGGCAGAGTTTTTGACAGATAAAAAAAAGTGCACAATTTTTTTCCCCATAATTTTACAGCAGTTAACTTTTTTTAAATGTAAAGCAGTAACAAAATTCTCCAGTCAGTTGCTTCCAATTACAAGTTGGTTATTTATTCTGTTTGGGATTTTCCTAAATCTCCCCAGATTGCAAAATATTTACCAAAAATTAAACATATGAGGAGAAGTAGACATTTTCACAATTACAACTCTAAATCTTAAACTCTTCAGTTATGTCTACAGTGTCAAATTTAGGAGCTCTGATTTCCCATTCAAGAAGCATCAGTGGTGTTTGGGTGCAGTCATGCAAGGGGGGGGAAGAGGATGGAGAGCAGTTTCTGCTTCTCCCTAACACATTCATTACCGCACTGCAAAGTAAAAATCCCAGGCAAGACAAACCAGGACCAGCACTTATCTAAGCCTTGTTAATGGGAGTGAAAGTTAGGAACTGCTGTAACTTCACGAAGATTTATTACTGGGCTTTGTAAAGTAAACCATATCTCTTCATAGACTTATCAGGGGCAACAAGTTATACTAATCTCTCAGAAGTCAAGGAAGACAAGGCATCAGTGTAAAAAGAATAGATACTTAGGGGGGGGAAAAAAAAAGACACAGTCAAAACTTGTAGAAATTCTAACATTTTAAATGCTGTAGTCTCGCCCAGGATGGGAAAGGTCTGAACAAGGCAAGTGCTCCCCTTGTGACACGCTCCCACACGCTCCCACTCCTAAGCGCTCCCGCTTAGACACGCTGCAATCATACTCCTCCTTTTGCTCATTAAAGTCAGCTCATAGTTGCTAAGCTGACCTAAAATCTGGCTTTAACATGCTCTGGTTACAGACTCAAACACTAACTTTGGGGAATATTTTCTGTACACGTGAATTCCTCTCCACATCTCCTAAAAATCAGGGAAGTTAAAAAACCCAAACTGTAGCACACCTAAGCAGAGGTTGGAAGAAGCAATGGTGTCTTGCATTGTTTGCACACAATCTTTCCCATGGCCTTTCAAACCCGCCACTGTGCTAGGTCCTCTGTTATGTCTTGCTCTCAGACCTACAAGTAGAGAGCAGAAAAAATAACTGAAGTTCATTAACATAATTTAAAATCATTTTATGCCACAAAGTTGTAGTGAAAAAAAAGTCATTCGGGCTTTTTGCACATTCAGAAATTTTAATATCTAGAAAGCCCAATGAGTACAATGAAATAACTGGAGAAAGGTGCCTGTGTCCAGATTGTTTGTTAGCACTCCGCCTGTCAAGAACCCAAACCTACTCATTCACATATTATCAAGCACTTGATAATATTTATCACATCTAAGTGATATAAACACACACTTATACTGTCATTTTTGCCTATAACAATCTAAGTCACTCAATTTAGAATACTACACTTACTCTTAAGGTGCCAGCATTGACCATTTTCAAAGATTGTTTCTTGTTTGGCTTATACTACTAAAAAAAAATTAGTAAAAATGAAAGGACGTAATCCCAACCACTAGAACATTAAAATCCTCTGCGTTTTTACTTCTTACTCTTATTTAAAATATTTGCTTAAAAAGGTACAATAAAAGGCAGTATCATCAAACCCTCTACATTTAACATAATTTTCTGTAGAAATAAAGTGGTTATGATGAAAAGCAAACCAAATTATGCACATTTTTGAGTATATTAAAATTGCAAACTCACTGACAGATGGATATACCAAAATCAAGACTATTTCACCTTTTCATTAATGTATTTAAATTGTTATATTTAAATTAAATAATTAAATTGTTATATATTAAAATAATATATATAAAACATAATATATTATATTAAATTAAACTATTCTAGCACTGAGCAGAATATTTTTTTTCAAATTAATTATTTTTAAAACTTGATACTGCCTGGCACTTTGTATTTCTTTTGTCTTCAATAACAGTTTCAACTCTGTCACTTCTTAAAATATCTCTAAAATGGGTTCCATAGCCTGTAGTGTGAGCCTGTTTGAAATGAGTGAGCTTCAGGGTGCCCCTCCTTAGCCTCTTCTCAGGTAAGAGGATGTAGCTTCAAACTACAGACTACAGAGGCAAGTGGGAGACAACACTTCCTTTTTATTTTTCTGAAAACCCAGAAAGTCTCCACTAGGAGACATGAGGCCTATTGTATTTGCAGCTTAAATGTAGAAACAGTTTTCCACAAAGAATCTTCCCAAGTCTAGAAAGGGCTTGTTCTCCTCATATCTTGAGTTCAGGCATTATCAGAAGTGATAGATATGGCAAATTATTTGTATCAATATAAAAATATGCACAAATTGCTTAGTATAAGTAAAACTCCCCCTTATTCCTTCCTTCAAGTATGTTAATGCTGTAACCTCTTAAAAAGTGCCTAAAAATAAACATTATTTTCTTCCAAAGTATTACTGAAGATAGTAGCCCTTCAAATACTTCATGCAGCAACAGATCCATCACATTTCTAGATTTTGCCTCTTATAGACACATTTTTTTCCTACATCTCGAGCCTAAAAAAAAACCAAAACAGTGAATTCTTTACTTCAAGTGGAAATGTGTAAAGGAAAAATCTATACAATATGAAAAAAAAAGCTTGTTTTTATTATTTAATTAGACACCAGATTCATACTGTATCTTAGGTCACTAAGCCAAACACTGTCAACCAGTGCCTCTGCCCCA